AGGCTTCAAACTTAATTTCTGTCAATGTGCTTGGGATTTTTTGTTCCATGGACTTTTAAGTTTCTGTCCTTAGCCAAATTGGCTATCAGGGCATATCCAATTAGGCTCGATTTATACTAATAAGAGAATACGTTCAAAATATGCTAACTTAGAAAAAGCATTTCTATTTCCCTGTTCTTTCTAAAGTGATCTTGGCTAATTGAAAATGCCAGTGTATCTCCTCTAGTTAAATAAAGCCACCCAAATACTGTATATTATAAATACAAACAGTCATTAAAAACATTTGGGCTGGCATCTAAGAACAAAATATCCAGGCATTACATTATGATAACACCCACTGTTTTCATGTGGGTGTATGAAAAGTCACCAAGAGAGTGATGTGCAGTTAGAGGACTATAAATGGCATCACAGAATCTAAATTTGGATAATGTGAAAAAGACCAATTTTAGCACTAAATTTGTATGCTCTAATATGGGGCCCTTAAGATGATCAAGGAGGGCCAGGAGTTGGTGTGGTGGTTAAGGTGCTGGACCCACACATGCCTGACTGAGGTTTGAGTCCCAGGCCTGGCGGTTTACTTTTTCACTTTCCTTCTCTGTATCACTCTGGTAAGTGTGTGTGCCCTGTACCAAATAAAATAATAATAAATACAATTAAATAAATCTTTTTTTTTTTTTAGAGAGATTCTTGATGTAGGGTACGTGCACTCTCCAGAGAGACAGAAACAGAAGGTAAGAAATCACTCCCCAGGAGGGATAGCCATGCTCCAACCCCTTCTTCTTCATTCTCCCTCTTGAGATCTTGGGCACGTATGTGCACACATCCGATGTGTTTTAAGCCACCAGGTCCGGGATTCAAAACGCAGTGGACCATGTGGGGGTCCAGCAACATAACCATTAAACCATCTGCTGGTCCCTCTATCACTTTCAACTGGTGTAACTCTGAGCCATTTACTTCACCTCCCTGACATGCACACTTTTTATCTGTAAGATGGGAACACTGTCACCCATATCGAAAGATTAAACAGGACACTATATAGCAAGTACATCATACACCTGGCACACAGTGACTGCCCTAAAAAAAGGCAGCAATTTTCTTTTACTTCAATGGTTATTGCTTCTTGTAATCACTTTTTAAAACATTATTTAATTTTATTTATTGTTTTCATTATTTTTAAAATTTGCTGTAGGGGATGTGTGTCACCAGAGACAGAAAGACAGAGAGACAGAAAGTGATAAAATAAGTCACCAGGTCCAGTCTCAAACCGTTTGGCCATGTGGGAGTCCAGGGCCTTCACTGCTCCACTACCTGCTGGGTCCTCTTGTAACCTTTTTAACTTCTTCCCTTAATCTTTTCTCTACGGTATTCACATACCTTGATAATCCTTCAGAAATTATTTAACTACTATTTAGTAGGGCCACACTATGTATCAGGCTTTGGGAATACGGACTGACTATATGGGAGAGGTGAGAGAGGGCAGACACAAAACTAAACAGCAAGTGCCACGGAAGCCTATGCAGAGGTGCCTGATTCAAGGAAACCTTGAAGAAATGCTATATAGAGAGACCTGGAATACATGAAGAACTTAGCCATGCCAAAAAGACAAAAACCAAACACACATACACACATACACACATACAATGGGGCAGGCAATGGATAACACTTAAAATCTCAGAGGCAACAGAGGGCAGGGTGAGTTCAAGAAACTGAAAAATATCGGGTATGATTGGAACAAAGAGAGCAAGGAGGAAGAGGTCTAGACACGAGCCTGGGTAAGTAGGCAGGGGCATATGCTTCAGGGCCAATTCAAGTACGTGAAGAATTCTAAGACTTCATCCTAGGAGTAAAGGAAGCTACTAGGGGGGGTCTTATGAATGCTTCCAGTTAAAACAACTTCTGGGTTGCAGAATACAGAAGGAACTTCAGAGAGTTAAGACTGAATTATAGAGAAAGTTTTTAGAGGGTCTTGTGTTATTTCAAGAGTAAAGTGAAAATGGCTCATGCAAAGGCAGGAAGAGTGAGACTGGAAAGAAACAGACCATCCAAGAAACCTTTATGGACGGAGAATCAACATAATGTAGTTATAGGGTTGTTAGAAAAGTCATGAGTATTTTCCTATGTTTTCCCATGGAAAAATGTATCATGACTTTTTTTTTTTTTTTTGAGAGATTTTTGCTATACGGCGTGTGCACTCGCCAGACAGACAGAGAGAGACAGAGAGACAGAAAGTGAGAAATCACCCCCCAGGGGAGATGGCCATGCTGCAATCCCTTCTCCATTCTCCTCTCGGGATCTTGGGCACGCATGCACACATGCCTGGTGTGAATTTTAAGCCACTGGGTCCGGGACACGAACCACGGTCAACTACGTGGGAGTCCAGTGACATAGCCATTACGCTAACTGCTGGTCCCTCCTATCATGACTTTTGAAACGACCCAATAGTAAGGATATTGGAAGTCATAATCTTGAAAATGAGAATGTGTGCAATAAAATTATTTTCCGAAAAATTAAGAAAAAAATTTAATTGGCAGAGGACATGCATACATACCAGAGACAGACAGGAGTAGGGGTGGCAAACATTCCCCAATGGGGCACGGTCATGTTGCAATCCTTTCTCCTTCATTTATCCATCCCACTGTGACCTTGGGCATGCATCCCAAGTTGCTGAGGCTGGGACCCAAACTGTGGTCACCTAGGTGGCATCCAGTTCCCACAACCAGAAGCCATGGGGCAGTCCAAAAGTACTGCTTACGTTTCATAATATAAAACACATGGGCAGCCTCATAGCACAGTGTTCAAACATTGTGTGGTGGGAACAGGATCCAACAGGGGTCAACTGCAGTTCAAATCTGCACTCCCGTGGCTTGAAACACGGGGGGGTGGGGGGTACATGAATGTGTGTGTCTAGGATCCTGACAAAATGGACAGAAGAAGAAGAAGAAGAAGAAGAAGAAGAAGAAGAAGAAGAAGAAGAAGAAGAAGAAGAAGAAGAAGAAGAAGAAGAAGAAGAAGAAGAAGAAGAAAGGATTGTGGCATGACCACATCCTATGGAGAGGGGGGCACTTTCTTTTCTTTTGGGGGTGGTAGTTGTGTGACCTCTGGTATTAACATAAATTAATACATTTAAAATACAACCTACAACAGGGGAACCAGCAGCTGGCGTAATGGCTATGTTGCTGGACTCCATGTAGTCGACCGTGGTCCAAGTCCTGGACCTGGTAGCTTAAACTCATGCCAGGCGTGTGTGTGTGCGTGCCCAAGATCCCGAGAGGAGAATGGAGAAGAAGGGACTGCGGTGTGGCCATACCCCCTGGGGAGTAATTCCTTGTTTTCTGTCTCTCTGTCTTTCTGGTAAGTGCACGCGCCCTATAGCAAAAATCTCTCCAAAAAAAAAAAAAAATCAAGAAGCTTAACAATAACTTAGCTGTAGGAACATGGATTTTAAAAGGTAGAGAAATAGCATACCACACCTGCTTTTCCCCTTCTATGCAATTATTAGTTCAATAGAGTTAGGATAAACTCACTTGTTAAATATGCGTGCACGACGAAATTAAATGACTCAAAACACAGCTCTGTGAAGCTTTGCAATAAGTCTGAGCTAAGAGATTCAGAGCTTTCTTCAGGTACACTGTTCTGCTTGCTCCATCTAGCCTGGACTCCCTAGTCCCTACAGCACTAGGTGGGATGTCAAACACTTCCTCTCTGCCCATCCACGTTCCATGCAATTATTAAGACTCAAATCCTCCAAGATGAGACACTGATCCTGTTCTGCTCTGAATTCCAAGAGCAGTTGGAGAATATAACAGGAAATTTAATAAGTAATTACATTCTACCCAGTATTTTATACTCTCTGCTCACAGCTAACACAATTTCACACCTGCTTTTTCTACTCTAATTACGCGATTACTAACAAAAGTCTTCTTGACAACTGCAGGAAGATGGCTACTTGACTGGTAATCGAGTGGAGAGAGACTGTTAGCAACCTATTCTAACACTCACGTGGAAGCTGAGAAACAAGTCTAAATGGACCATAGAGCCCAAGCTTAGGTCTAGGTGGAAATGTTACCGATCCAAGTACTCCTCTGACTAAAGGAACCCTCCAATGAGTAAATAAGACCTTCCAGCAGTTATGTACGGGAGGTGAGTGGTGAGTGAGACAATTCAAACCTTCCTGATGACAAGAAGCCTCTCTTCTCAGCCCACCCCCTTTCCAGCTCGCTGCCACCCCTCCTGTGCGACAGTTCCTTGACCAACGTGGAAACGACGAGTTCCAAAGGATATGGCATCACCTTTGCCCTCTGACCTAGCAGCGGAGACTCACCAGTTTCATATTGGACTTTTAGTTGTTCAATACCAGCCTCCGGACTCCTTAACCCCAGGAAGCGTCTTCCGGTTCAGTCTCCGCCACTGGCCCGCCGAGAGCATCGCGGGACTTGCAGTCTTTCATCCTTGCGCCCCCTTCCCGGTGCATCATGGGAAATGCAGTCTTCCCTCCAGGCATCATGGGAACTGTGGCCGTCTTCCCTGGTCTTCCCTTTCCTCTCTGAACACCTCCTTCCGTCAGCTCAAATTCATCCCCGCCGCCAATTCATCCTCCCTCTCCACCCCAGCATGATATCATGTCCCCTATATGGTCCAGGGGCCCACGGTATTCTGGGAGCTGTAGTCCCGACGGCTTCGGCTCCCCTTTTCCCTCCTCCCTGTGGGAAGGCGGATGGGCGCGGGCCTTGCCGGGAGCTGTAGTTCCCTGGGGCTTCCAGACGCGGAGCCCCGCGCTTTTACTCCAGGGAGGCGGGAACTACAACTCCCAGGGACGCCCGGCGGCAGCAGGTGGGAGCGGGGCTGTTGATATCAATATGGCGGTTGTCAGCCAGACAAAGACAGTCAGTCTGATGTGATTGAGACAACCCCCTCTCCTCTGCCTGGGCCGGCCTCCACCCCTCCCCAGACCCCTCCCGACGGGCGCCCCACGCGGAAGAACCCCTCCCCCGCCCGCTTTCCCTCCTCCCTACCTACTGGGACGCTGGGGAGGGGGCTGTGCCGGGCGAGAACTCAGCCAGGATTCGGAGGTGAGTCGAGCGGTTTGGAAGCCGGACTACCTCGAGTCTCTTTCCTCACTTCTTTCTCTCCACTTCCAAGAAGGAAAAGAAAAAGAAAAAAAGAAAATGTTTTCTTGCGAGGTTTTGGGAAGAAAGTGACCCTTCGCTGGGGCTGGGTCTCTTAAACGGCCCGATGGACTGGAGGGGGGGAGCCCCGGGTGACCCGGACGTGGGGTGTGGGGTGGGGCAGTTTTTGGGGGGCGGTCATTGAAAGGCGTCGACTGCTCCCCAACTCCTCTCCCTGGTTTCCTGTCCTATGGGCGGAAGATTTGAATGCAGGAGGTGGGGTCTCCCGCTCGGAGTTGGGGAAACTGCGAGGCGATTTCGAGGTGTGTTGGCGTGGGGTGTGCAACTGTGTTTTAAACTGTGTGACGTGTACTTGTGTGCCATGCTCGTCTGGAAGAAACGTCTGGAGATGGGAAGTTAAAGAGCCAGAGTCATAGCTTCTCCTGGGCCTGGGCTGCGAAGCGTGCGCGAGTGAGGGGTCCTGGTGCTGGACGTGGGGGCCGGCGACCCTGTGCGGGGCAGCGCGGCTCTGCAACTCGGTGGTGTCCCGTGGCCCGCTCACACTCCGCCAGCCGCCTCCGCCCCCTCCCCGGACAGATCTCCACCCCAAACTCCGGCCGCAGATTTGTAGACATGATGGGTCGAGAGCTGGGTTTTTGCATCTTCAAGTCCGTAGGTAGCTGGGAAAGGAAAAGTGTTTCTTAATATTTTATTCCGGAACCGTGTTCTGGTTACACTATTGGGGCTACTTTGAAAGGAGTCCTCCACCCACCTTCACCCCGAAACAGTAGGTAGAGGTGTCTGGTCTTCGTGTTGCATAGACTGATACTTTAGATTCGGGGCCGTGGGGTGGGGGGCGGAGGGCCGGATGGTGGCCGCGTTCTCTGTGTGTCTACTCAAGAGCCCGAATGTCTGTAGTGCATCTGGAGATCGGGCGACTTATTTTCGTAGTAGGAAAAACTGTTGGAAATAATTTGCAGGGGGGTGGGGGTGCGCTGAAAGACGCCGCTTGTGTTTTTCTTCTACCCCACCCTGTTCTGCCTCGCATTTGCCTGAAAGCTGGTATGGAAGAGTGAGGAAGCCCTGGGTGAGTGAAAGGAAGAACGCAGTTGGCGTTAAAGTTAAATGGTGTAAGGTGCCTGCTGTTTTTATTTACTTTAAAGCTTTAGAAACACCTTCGTGTATTATCTAGGGTGAAGGGATGTGAATGGTTCATTTCTCTGGGATCCTGCAGGTACAGAAACCTCTGCCTCCTGCCTGCCTGCCTGCCTGCCTGCCTGCCTTCCTTCCTTCTTTAAGCCTTTCCTTCCTTTCTTGACATAGTGCATTTCTTTTCCTGATGGACATAATACCTTTGGTGCCTTGTTTAGTTCATAGGAATTTGTGTGTTTTGTAGGTTGAGAAAGACCCGCATTTAATTTTATTTTGCCCTATGCTACAGGTAATTGTCACATCAGGACCATGGTGCTTTTCATTCAACTTATTTTAAAATTGTACAACTAAGTTGCTAGAACTAGTTGAATTATGTTCATAAGTTAAGTTGGGAAATTTTGATTTCTGATTTTTTTAAAAAAATTTTCAATTAGAGGTATAAAGGGAAAAGGATAGCAACATGTCTGTTTCTCACAATCCTGAATGACATTACACGAAGACAGTTTCAGATCATGTATTTTGTATTTCCTTAAATCTGAAATACAAGTTTTTCAGTTACCCTTCTGTGGTGGTAGTTTTTCAGCATTATGGATCTTAAAATAACTAAAGGTATTGGGGACATTTCTGATTAAAGTGTTGGGAACTGAATGTATTTACATATGTGACCCCAGACTTATCAATTCTTGAATGTGTCATTCATCAGTAAGAGACAGTTACTTTCCATAAAAACTGAAAGTCATGTAGATACATGATACAATTCTGTGGTATGTTTTATAACCTTTCATGTGAAATTGCTGCTGTTGATCATTCACCCAGATAAGGCGACTGTAACCATGAGGTAGCATATAAATTTACATTGACCCGAACAGAAAAAAAGATGGACATTTCTTCTAAATCTCAAATTTAGAATATTGACTATGTTAATCCAAAACTGATCCTTTAGTTTGTCACAGACCAGGATTTCCAGAATTATTTATTATAAGGTTGGTTGCATCTTAACCTGAAACATTACTCTGCAAAAACTGGAGAAAAACCCTGTATAACTATATTATAGATTATTCCTTTTAGTTTAGTTTTATTTTGTTTTTCCTGCAACATTCTGATAGTTATAGAGTTTTAAATGCTTAGTAATTTTTTGGAAGTAAAAAAACTAAAGTGTTGGTTTAGAGTTGGAAAAATATAAGTTTTCTCTCCCACCAAACATTACCTTAAAATTTTTTTCTTTGCTTGTTTTGTTTTTGTTTGTGGAAATGCAAAGCTAATTACTGGGAATAGTGTTTATTAAACTTTCTTGACTAGCACTGAGGTCAAAATCATTAAATGTAAACCAAATTATTCCTTGCATTCGTTGGGGTGGTTCTGTTGCATTTTAAGCACTGGGCATTAAAATGATGTAAAGCCTTTACTGCAGGTTAAAGCATAAAACATCTTCAGCATGTGGAAGTCATATGGTTTACGAAAAAAGTAAAAATCCAGAGCATTGGTGCCTGTCCAGCTTAAAATTTCATCCTGTAACTGTGAAAGACACATTTATTTTAATGTGATTGCCTCTAAAAATATTGCCTGTAGTTGAAAATCCAAACTTTTAAAACCAATCTGTTGCTGGTTTAGTGTACTGCATATAGTGAACACTATTTGTGGTCACAAATATGCCTCTGGGAAAAGAGCCTTTAGCTTTCAGTTGAACATCTTCCCTGAAGCTTCATTGTCATTGCTATAAGGACAGGCTTCATTCTTCTAGCCCAAATCCTTAGTTAAAGCATCACTAATGGAAACTTAGTAACTCAATATTGGTAAGCTAAAAAGTATATTGCTACAAATCTTTCATCACTTAAAAAATAGAAGTTACCACTTAGTGGCAATTCTTGTAGCAAGTGTTGATTGGAATTGTAACTGCTTGTTTCAGTAGATGTTGAATTTATATTGGGAATATTCATGCCTAGTTTGTGCATTTTAAGTCTCCTGTACATCATCATCAGTTCATTCCACTTTTGATGTTTCACGTAGCTACCTTGTTTCTGATAAAAGCACGTTTGCTTTTTCTGTTCATTCCATTGCAGCTCTTCTTTTATTTTGGAGCTCTTTAAACTTGAATTATTTCCTTGGGGAATTAGACATTTATCCTAGAATGTTGTTTTTCACAAATGAAAGTTGATGTACCACTCAACTTTTTTTTTTAAAAAACATGAACATTTATATGTAGACGAACTTCATGAAAACGTATTGGTTTTGTTTGATTTGTGAACATGATTTAGTTTTTTTGACTTCTAGAATTAATTTTATGATTTACTTAACTATTCTTTGAATAGATTTTTCTGTTAACTGTTGGCTTTTACTTTTCAGTTTGGTAGAACTTTAATTATAAGACATCACAGCTTGTCTAGAATGTCATATGTGTCCTACCATACTTATACATACATAATATACAACACGTTTATGTTCATTTATATAAAAAGTTGATATATATCTATCAGACATACAGTCATAAGAAAGAATCTGGGCCAAAGCGACAGGAGACTCTGAACGTTGGCACAGGCTAGGAACAAAGTATAACCACCACCATTTGCTGCCAACATAGAAACTATATGAGATTTTTAGTGTCATTCTAAACCATTTTGTTAACAAATTCTGCCAAAATATAATCCTCTCCAAATGGAAGATATGGTTGACTTTTTTTTTTTTCCCCTCAAAATACTAAGTAATGTGTGACTTAGATCCTAGGTGTAAGCTCTCTCTCAGAACGTCCTTATTGGAGTTACGCCCATCCTAGGTATAAAGATTTTTCAAGTGATTAGTTTATGTAAAACTTTGAATTAGTGTCTATTTAAACAAAATCCAGTACTTCAGATAACTTGTTTTCCTTGACCTTAGAAGAAACAAGTTGGAAATTTACTATAACATTTTCTTGGACACTTTCCAAGAGCATTTAGTTACCGGAAGGCCTTGGCTTTAGCATGGTTTTACCTTGTAATAAGGTTGAAATTACAGTAAGTTTTCCCAATGTTTATTATCATCTTAGTACAATATTTTATAGATCATTAGGCAATAAGGATAGCAGAGTTTTAACATTTATAAACAAAAAGAAAAAGTAACAATCTGGATTTAGTTTGGAAGTAATCAGGTTTTTTTAAAGGAGTATTTATTTAATTTGTTGTTATTATTATTATTATTTTAATTTGACCAGAGAGAGAGAAAGGGAAAATGAGAAAGCAAGTCACCTGGTCCAGGACTCGAATCCTGGTTGACCATTTGGGAGTCCAGCATTCCAGCCATCATGCCACCTGCTGACCCTGAAGTGATCAGTTATTTTAATATTCTTTTTATTTATTTATTTATTTATTTTTGACTTTTAAAACAGGTGGCACTAGACTCCTTCCTCTTAAAGGATAAAATAATTCTAAATCACTCTAAGAACATTTAGGTGTTCTTAAATTTAGAGTGCTGATTATGTTAAAATGTTTGCTGATTGCCACATACTGGATGTTTTCTGTGCATCTTTTTTATTTTTATTTTATTTTTAAAGGTTTTTGCCATAGAGTACAAGCACTAACCAAAAGAGACTGAGAGAGACAGTGAGAGCGGAAGTAAAAAATTACCCATCAGGGGAGATGGCCACGCCAGTTTCTTCTCCTCATGGGATTTTGGGCACACATTTTCACATGCGCAGCATGATTTTCAAGCCACCAGGTCTGGGATTCGAACTGCAGCTGACCATGTGGGAGTCCAGTCCCTTAACCACAAGCCACCTGCTGATCTCTATTCTCTGTCCATGTTTGGTCTGGTGATGGCTTAAATGTGTATTAAAAACATTT